GGCCATGCAGCACATTCCTGTCCACTGCCTCCAGCGTCCAGGATCCGTGGGGTTTGGAGATCTGGGGAATGCAGCAGTTGCACAGACCCCGAGAGCCCTTTTCTGGGGTTCAGTAAGCCACCATTCAGCTGAACAGCAAAGTCCTGCTTGTTGCTTGGTGGAGGGGCTGACCTGTGGGGTTCTCCTTCCCATCTCTGCAGGATTTCCACAGCCTGGCCACGTACCTGTCCCAGAACACGTCCTCCGTGTTCCTAGATGTCATCTCTGATTTCCACCTGCTCCTTTTCCTGGTCACCAACGAGGTCATGCCTCTGCGGGTAGGTAATGGGAGGGAAGCCATCCTGGCTAACGCCCAAAGCACCTAGTGCTTTTAACAAGCACTGGGTTACAGACTGAGGCTGAGCTGCTCTGGGCTAGTAACCACAGCCAGGCCCTGCTCTGCACAGAGGGAGGAAAACACTGCCTGGCTGTCAGCCTGGGGCAGGTTGAGAAAATGCAACTTTATTAGAGGAACGATAGTGGGAAACAGGGCAGGAGGAGCTGTGAGCGCAGGGGTTCCAGCTTGGGCCCGCCTGTTTCCCAGCACTGAGTGGGCGGCGACTGCTAGTCCAGAGCCAGGCTGCAGAGAGCGATTTGGCTGCATGAGCTGGAGCTGGAATTGCTGAGAGCTCTCCGGAGCAGAAATTCCTGTCGTGATGATAACGAGATGGGAGCCCCTGATGGCGGCGAGGCCAGCGACTTCCTCGCTTTGCAGCTCAGGCTTTATTGGCTTGGCCCCGGGAGCTTGGCAGTGCCCCAGGCCCGGCACTGACATCTGTTCCACGCGCTCCTTCGCGCTGGAAACGTTGTGCCATGTGTTTTCCGGAGGCTTCGGGCCCCACGTGGACGGAGCATGTGCTGAGCAGCTGGGCTGCCCATGGGCGGCTGGAGATCAGGGCCAAGCAAAGGGCCCTTGCGCGGCCAGCAGTGATGGCGTCCAAAGAGCAGGGCCCTGCCCACATGCGCCTGCCCAGGTCCCAGCATCCCTACCACTCCAGCCTGCAGCAGCCTCCCTCTTACCCAGAATCTGCCAGCCCTGCTGCCCAGCTCAGCTCTGTTTGCACCCCAGCGCCTGCTGGTCTGTGTGGGGCTGATGCTGCCACTGCATAGAAGCAGCTTCTGGGCCTGTGTTATAAGCAGAAAGATGCAGCGTCCAAGTTTGGGGGGTGGCTGGGGGGAGGCGTCCAAGCACTGGAGGGAAGCAGGACTCCTGAAGCCAGCCAGACTCCCCAGGGAGCAGCAGCTTCCAGCCAGGAGCGCTCATGGCAGGGTTTGGAGCCCTTCCTTCTAGCTCATGGTGCGTGCAGCTAGGGAGCCCGAGACCCTTAGAAAAGGAGAGCAAGAGGGTGAATAAAGTGGGATATCAGTTTGGGGGCAGGGGGAGAGGCAGGGAGCGGTCTGCTGGGAGCCCTGTGTGGCAAGGCACTGGTGCTAGCGTGCCTGTCCCCATTCCAGGATAGCATCAGCTTGCTGCTGGAGGCCGTGAGGACCAAAAATGAGGAGCTTGCCCAGACGTGGAAGAAATCGGAGCAGTGGGCCACCATCGAGCAGCTCTGCAGTGAGTAGCCACGGCCTCCTCTGTCCTCCTGCCTCAGGCATCGGGCTGGGGAGGGACAAATGATGTGGTTTGACCAGGGAGGCTGCACAGGGCTCTGAGCTGGCTCCTGCTGCCTCTGGGGCTCAGCAGGCTGCAGAAAGGCAGAAGCAGCTTGGGGTTGTACCCAACAGGACAGAGAAGCTCGTTACCCACAAGGCTGCAGCCTGCTGAGATGGCTCCCTCGGCCTCTCCAGAGCAGCTGCCTGCCCCCTCTGGGCACTGTCCCCGGGCAGCAGTGGCGGGGCAGGGGCTGGAGGCAGGCTGGGCCTGTGGCATGAGGCTGCTGCTTCCTCAGGGCCTCTGGCACAGCCATGGTGGCCAGGGGCACCTCTGTTGTAGCTGATGCTGGACGGGCTCTGGGGCAGCGCCCAACTGCTGCAAGGGCGGGTTCAAAGGGATGGTTTCAGGGTTGTCTGTGGACATGGGCTGGGCTTATGGGGCCGTTCCAGCACCGTGTCTTGGGCTTAGTCCATCTAGGCCTGATGTGCAACCCTCCCCCTTCCCAGCCAGGTGTAACGTGCGGTTCCCTCCCACAGGCACGGTGGGCGTCCAGCTCTCAGGACTGCACGAATATGGTGCTGTGGGCAGCTCGCAGCACGCCGCAGCTGCAGCTGTGTGGGCCTGCCAGCACTGCACCTTCATGAACCAGCCCGGCACGGATCACTGCGAGATGTGCAGCCTGCCTAGGACCTAGCCCTGCCTCCTGCTGGAGCCAGCCCTCCGTAACGCAGGATTGTTTCTCGTGCTACCCCCCCCATATCGCCGTGCCATGCGGGGCAGAGCGGGGTAGGGGGCAGCCGCACCCAGAGGGCTTTGGTCTCACAGCCGGGGGCTGTCCAGGGGCAAGGGGTTAGGAGACAGGCTGAACTTGCCCACCCAGTGCAGGGAGCTGACACTTTCCATTTCCATCTTTCCCAGAGGGGATATGGGCTCTGTCCCCTGGCACTTCTGCCCCTGCGCCTCTGGCTCGCAGGCCTCACTAGGCTGCAGCTGCTTTTCCCTTCCCTTCCAGTTGTGCAAAGGCAGGGGGGTGCTGCAGGGCTGGTGATACAGGGCTGCCCCATTGACTTGCACGGTATCGGCCCCTGCTCCCTGCAGCCCCAAGCACGTGGGGTCAGGGGGGCCGGGGGTGGTGGGACAGCAAGCACAGCTGGGTCTGGCAGGCTGCTATCACGTGCCTGCTGCCCCCCTCACCCCCTGCCCAGCTTTTCTTCCCAGAACCCCACTCTGCTTGTGTGCGGGCAGCTCTGCTCCAGGGGCTGGGCCGGAGGGTTGCTGGTGGGGCTGTGCCTGCAGCCCTCGGCACGCACCAGCCCTGCAGCTTGGAACCCAGCCCTGCAGTGCATAGCGGCAGCTGAAAGCTTTGCCTGTTCCCTACCCATGTGATGGACAGGCACTGCAGGTGGCACATAGCTGCTCCTGCTTGTCCACCTCCTCCAGGGCAGCACGAGGGGCCTGCCAGGGGGGTCCCCATCCCTAGTGCCCAAGCTGGAGGGGGAAGCTGGCTTCTTGGCTAAGCCTACCATCCGGCACGGGAACAATGTGGGCATAGCACCAAGTGGCATGTGCCCTCACGTCCCCTGCTTCCAGCCCCTCGCCTTTGTGCCTGGCACCCTCTATGCAGAGCAGGTGCCAACTGCTAGCAAGGAATTGCCACTCGTGCCCACTTTGCCGGGGCTGCTGTGTACACAGCTGGAGTCTGAGCACGGGGAAGGGACCCACAAAGCAGAGCTCAGCATCCAGGCAGGAGGGTCCTGGCCAGGGCTGCGGCCTGCTCTTCTGTGTCTTGCAGGAACCCAGGCTCAAAGCTCCCCCTTGGACTCCAAGCTGGGCTTGGGGCTGCAGCCCTCCCAATGTCCATCACAGCTGCACCTTGGCTGCCCACCCCAAGAGCTGGCCAGTGGCCAGTTGCTCCCAGCTACCTCCCCCCAGCCCTTGGTGGTTCTCCCCTCCATGCTCCTAGCTTTCAGACCTGCATGGGAGCCACCTCTCCCTGCTCCCAGAGGCAAGCTGCTCTGTGCACTGGGCTCCACTCCCAGGCTGGGTGTTAGGATAGACCGGGCCATCCCCATAGGGTAGACCAGCCTCCCTGCACTCTCTGCTGCCCTGCAAGGCCGGTTCTGGAGTCTCCGCTTACCCAAGCCCCCACACGAGTTGGGAGGTGTCACCTTCCCCCCCCCCGCAAGAGCCTGGCCCCGGGGCTGAAGTTTCTGCCCCACGGAGAGAGGTTCTAGTGGCTGCTCCCTGCCCTGTGCATGGACAGGCAGGCGGCTGTCTGGCCAGCTGGCCAGCCCAGGGGACGCGTGCTGCTTAGGGCCCTGGGCTGTAGCTGCTCTTGCTTTCCTCCCATGGTGGTGGGGGCGGTGGAGGGGTGCACCGGATGGGGCTGGGCTTGCTGCCCTCGACTCCCGCAAGTGGAATCCAATAAAGCACCTGGAATGGGAACAGCCGCGTCTGCCCTTTTGTTCTGGGCCCCAGTGCCTGCCTGCAGGGAGCAGAGCCAAGGCACTGAGCAGCTGGGCACAGATGAGAGCCCCAGGAGACGTCTTGCCCTGGCTTGTGACCCACCCTCCTAGGTGGACGTGGGGGCCTGGCTGCACTCGGAGCAGGTGTCTGCCCTTGTACCCCCAGCTGTGGGCCACTGTCCAGCCTTGTGGCTCCGTCCACCTGATGGGAAGGTTGCAGGCCCCCGAGCACAGCCTGGTCCCAGGTCCAGGGAGACCCACACCTGCTGCTGGGGGCTCAGCAGGAGGCGGCCGTACCCAGGAGGTCAGAGAGGCAGGTGGCTGTGCGCGCCAGGTGAGGCATCTTGAGTGTATTAGCCACCAGACGGGCCACAACGAGCAAACCTCATGCAGCTCCTCTGATCTCGATTTCCTGCCTCCCCCAGCCACAGGGCCAGGTGGGCGCAAGTCCTGACCTGGGGGAGCGGTGCTGGCAGGGAAGAGGACAGTGGGGAGCTTCGTTAGGGCGCTGCAGCAGCAGCAATGGCAGGGCTGGGTGCTATGGAGTTATGCCAGCCCATCTTGAGGCCAGCAGCTCTGTGAGGCGAGGGCCAAGCCCTGTGGATCCCTGCAGGCTGGAGCCGCAGGGCCGGGACCGAGGCCATGATAATGGCTCCTGGCATTGCTAGGAGCTGGCTCAAGCTTAGGGCCCTGCTCTGGGCAATCCCAACAGTAGCTCTGAGCCGTGCTGTGCCCCAGCACCTGGGGCAGGACCTGAGCTTGGCTGCCAGGTTCCTGGCCTGTGTCCTCGGCGACCCCAGGCCAGAGCCAGCACTGATGTCAGCAGCGCTGGGGGCAGCTGCTGCCCGGAGCTCCCCCCGCCAGGGCCCTTCCCCACGGCCTCTTCCCCGGGGACAGAGGGGGCGGGCAGCTGGCAGGCCAAGCCCGTCTGGTTGCAATCAGCAGGGATGTGTGGCTTGGCCAGAGGCCAGGCCGGTGTGTTAAAAGGGGAAGGAGCCGGGGCCGGAGTCGGAGAAGCTGGGAGCAAGCAGGGCAGTCGCCACATCCTGGAGCTCCACGCAGCAGGTAGGAGCTGCCGCGTTCCTGCCGGGCAGGGGCACCCCTGCAGCGTGCCCCTGGTTGGCATGCAAGGGAATCCCTGCTCGGGCCTGGCTGGGGCGAGGAGCTGGCATCCGCTGCAGCCACAGGTGCCAGGAGCCAACAATACCCCAGCTGCGTCCTCCTGGGTCCATGCCTGGCTGCCCACCCCTACGTCTGGGCATGCGGCTGTTCCCCCCCAGCCTGCTGGGCCAAAACCCACCCCCGCCGGGTGCGGACACAGGATGGAGCAGAGGGGCAGCCGTCCCAACCTCTCCTGTGCTTCGTCGTGCAGGAGGAGCATGAAGCAGGTTCTTGCCTGCCTGCTCCTGGCAGCCGCGGGCTGCGCCGTCAAGCAGAAGCGGCAGCCAGTAGAGCGGGACTATTGGCCAGAAGGTAAGACCCCCGCTCGGCTGGCGGGGGGGGGTGCAGCGGAGCCGCCTGGTTCAGCTGAGACGCAGTGACCCACACACCGTCACGTCTCCCCCCAGCTGAGAAGACGAGCGCCAAGGGCTGCGCCAACCTCACCGTGGTGCTGGACAACTGGAAGTTCGCCATCCTGTCCCAGATGAAGAACATGCTGCTCTTCGACCACCACACCGTGCTGCCCGACT